GGAGGAGGAGAGAGAGAGAGAGAGAGAGAGAGAGAGAGGAAAATCAGCCAAGGACGGGGGGGGGTGGCGGTGGTGGTGGTGAAGAGGGAGGAGAGTGCTTACAGCAGTGGGAGACCTCTCTCAGCAGCGGACAAAATTAGAAAAAGAGTGGCCGAAGGAAGCAGTAGAAGGGCTTGCAGAGAGCAAGCAGCATCAGCCAAAGAAAGTCTTCCCAAATGGTCAGGAGGAAGAAAAACAAGCGGAGTGTTGCCCATAACCTGCATAACCTATGATAGGACCCTGAGCCGCCCAAGAGGAGTAATCTATCCAGGGGCACAGTATAAATCATGTGGACAGAACGACAGTAACCTAGACTGGAGGCGGCGTCACTGACTCAGGGACTGCCGCACTGGTACCTTTACACAAAACAGAAAACCCGCCTCTACTCGTGCAGGGTAGGTCAACAGTTTCCTTCTTGATGATATGAATACAATGATATTATTATGCCTCTCCAATGTGCATACCAGCGTCATATAATACCGTACTCACTACCCTCAATCAATCCCTCCTCGGTTCCCCCACCGATAGTACTCGAGTACTTGTATGATAATACAGTACCAGCACTGTACCTGGGACCGCAATCACCGCCCAACGCATAATCGGAAACATGTCTCTCTGCCGGCCAACTATAGTACAGTACCGGTAGCCCCTTGTTGGGAGACCGAACCTCTTTGCTGGGTGATCTCCAATTTTACCCAGGCCGCCCCACCATTTCTTTGGGTTTAATCTGGGGGTCCCTGCACCCCAGCGTGTTCTTCTCTCCTCCTTCTTCCTCACCTTCTTCCCATTTTCCTCCTACGACCCGAAAAACAAGGGGACCTTATTATTGTTATCACCACTGCCCTATCAACCTCCTCCACCACCACCCCCCCCCGCATTTGGGAAAAGGGAAAAGAAGAAAAAAAGAAAAAGGTGAGGAAGCAAAAACAACCAACAAGCTCTTTCTATCTATCAATCCACCCAATCCATCCCGCCTTCCCTTCCCCGTTCTCCCCCGCTACTATTGCACGGCTACTTATCCTAGCCATTTCCCCTACAATTTAACCGCAAGCAAAGAAAAAGGAAAGGGAGAGAGAGAGAGGAGAAAGAAAGCGAACCCCGAATTAAGAGGAACAAGGGAAGGGGGAAAAGAATGGCCAACACCCTCGACAAGGTGGCGGAAGAAACGGTCCGCTCGCTAGAAACTCGCTTACGCCGAATCGAGTTCGTCCTTTCTGGCACAAGCGAAGACCCCGTCAGCGACCTCTTCGCCCTCCGAAACGCCGGACGAGAGAATTCCGTGCACGCCCGGTTGGCAGCACTGGAACACGACCTGGCCAAATTATGCAGGAAGTCGACCACCGTGAAGGAAATGATTGATCTACGTCAGCCACTCCTCCTCCCCTTCCCCACTCCACGCCGACCCGTTGACAAACAGCAGACAAAAACTGCCCCGAAATCTTCAAAGCCGCACAAACTCATCCTCACGCAACCTCCTCATCCTCGTCGTCAACCCTGACTCCCTGCGAGAAGCTATCCACAGCCCTCACCGCTGCTCCATCCATACATGCTACCTCCTCTCAATTGACCTCGATCCGAGACACTCCGATCCCTGACCCCAACGTATCCGCCGACCTCATCGCCCTTCTTCCCCGCATCAACCGCACAGAGATTATGCAGCAGACGCAGGCGCGGGAGATCGCCGAGTTGAGGAGACGCAGTGCAGCCTTGCTGGAGAGGTGGTACCTCCTTGGGGTCGAGGGGGTTAACGAGTGCTTTGCCGAGTGGGATGAGCGGACACTCGAGGTTGATAAGTTGCTCTCTAGAAAGTTGAGGATGGCGGAGGAATGAATGGATGAATGAGTTGTTGGTTGGTTTTTCCCGGGTCCGATTTTTTTCTATATCGATTTTTTTTCTCCTTTCGGGTTTTTTTTCTATAAAACGGACAGCTCCTTTTTTTCTTCTCTCCATTAGCACTTGGTTAGTCCATCGGTTAGCTGGGTGATGTGGGGATGGATGGATAAATGGTTGGTTGGTTTGTGGGGGAGTGAGGTGAACCGCCTATTAGCCCCTCAATACTCGAGCACCGGCAACCCTATGCGAATGCACGCCCATGGGGGGAAGGGAGAACGGATCGAGTACAGCATTCCAGCTGCGGGCATACATTTTAGCCAGCACCAGGGATGGGTAAGGCTTGGTCGATCGGATCGGATAGATGGATGTAACGGACCTACTAGAGTCGGATCACAAAGACTGGGTCACAGTAACTTTCAGGCGTCGTCCTGAAGGCTGTTCACCAGTAATCACTCGGCACACCAAGCACTGATACGCCACGAGTCACATAAAATCAGGTGACTCAACCGGGGACACCAATGCCATTCGTTATAATTGCATTTGCATTTCTGCACGAATCCAGGTTTACCATACCTAGACGCTGAGGTGGAGGGGGGCAGAAGAAAAAGAAATAGTCAAACAAATAACCAACAAGAATATACTATTGGGAAGAAGGAAAGAAGAAAAAACGCCATCCATCAAACCCCCCGAGACATGTATACAATGGAGAGGGGGAAGAGATAGAGAGGTTGGGAAAAAAGTTTGTACAAGTGAAAAAGTAAAACAACGCCTTTTGAAACAAACAAGTGTAAATCTGTTGATACCTTTTTTCTCTCTCCCTCCCTCTCTAACCCTGCCAAATGAGGCGAATAAAGGATGTGAACGAATGTGTCTTACTGCTAAGAGCACAGTACTCAGCACCCAGAGACCGCTCCGAATCGGTTTCTCAAGCAAGATCTTGATCTTCGCCGGGAAGACGACTCCTCAACTGCTCAAGAGAATGATGGAAGAAGAAAAATGGAAAAGGAAAAGTAAACAAGGAATAACCCTTCCGTCCGCCGTCTATATGCTACCATGCTATTTTTTTTTCTTTTCCTTTTCCCTTCTCCCGTTCACTCCACTTCGCTCTTTCTTTTCCGGGGAAAACAACGGGTCAATCTTGCCCCAAATTTTTCATAGAAATCGTAAGGTTGGCTTGTTCCAATCGCTTTTCGGATGAATTGTAGAGATTCGCAATTTACTACTGGCCTGCTTGCTCTTGTGCTTCCTCTACCGGAGTTACCACACGTTCGGACTCCGGTTTCCACGAACCTGGGACAGTGGGGTTAGCTCCGAAGTCACACAAGGGGCTATGCTACGGAATAAGGGTACCCTCAAATTCATGTTTAACGAATGCCATGGGGTGGTCTTCGTCCTTCGCTCCGCTGTGGCCAATTCCCGGAGAGAAACTCGTAATCGGTAATACGACGACATCCCCAACCTTCTTAGGCTCCTCCATTCCAGTAAAATTCCGCCATGAAATTTCGCCCTTTGACGAGCTCATGTCAAAGTATTTCGGATTGTTGAAATACCCGAAGATAGCATCAGTCCAAGCCGCAGGTCCTGTCCATTCTATAACGCTATTGTGGTCCCCCTGGAGCTTTCCAGCCTTCTTCCTCCGCAATGTCTCCATGGTGATGTTAGCTACAATTTCTCTCAACACCGGATGTCCAGGCTTTGACTGAATTGTCCATTGGCAAAACTGTACCCTACGGGAGTACCAATCCGCCCAGTCGGGCCTATCTGGGTCAGCTTCAATCCCAATGACGAGTCCGATTTGATTGAGTTTGAAGTTCGACGAAATCCAATCCGGGGCAGGCTGCAAGGCCAGAGTGTCGATATCAGAATAGATACCGCCACGAGCAAGGAGAATAAGGTAGCGGAAAAAATCAGCCTTGAGTATGGGAAGCGGAAGAGCTCGATAGGCCTCAAGGACATCCGGGACCGCCGAGTACAGGTGCTCGATGAGATATTTTGCGACAAGGTCGGTGATAACCTGAAGGATGTACGGGTTAACGAAAGACACGAAAAAAACTGATCATTCTGACAACACTCACCTCGTGGACAAATGTCGGGTGCTTTTCCGTCCAACTTGCTTCCGTAATACGGAACCTCTCCTCGAAATCCGGACTCGCGGGTGTAAACTTCCACGTTTGCCAGATGTACGCGGGGAATTTTGAGGACACCTGGTAGGGGAACTGATAGGCAAGTTGCTCCGTCACAGGGAGGTTTCTGATCTCGGCTAACGATAACTGCTGTTGCTGCTTAGCTTCCTTGGGAATGTGTGGCCTTGACGGTATCCTCCCCTTTGGTTCTTGACCCGCTCCTTTGTGTCCAGAATTATGGTGCCCGGGTGTGGGTTCCGCCTCGTGAGGGGATCGAGGGCTTCGTGGGTACAAGTAGAAGATACAGAATAACAGGAAAACGGACAACACAATTGCCCTCCTAAAGCTCAGCATCTCAGCACCGACAATCGAGGGCTCGAACCTCGACAGTTTGACAACCTCAAGGAGCTATTCCGAGCAGAAAGGAGAAATTAAAATAATAATAAAGTAACGAGATGGATAATAATAATAGTAATAATAGTAATAATAATAATAACAATAATAGATGTGAAAAAAGATGATCCCGGGAGGCAAGTGCCCTTCGTACTGTATAATTGCCCGCCAGTATATAGGGAGAGGAAGTGAAGAAGGCTGGAAGAAGAAGAGGTGGTCCAGAAGCCCCGCAATGAGAGGAGAGGCTTGTTGATTGAAAGAATGACGGTGGAAGAGAGAACAGGAAAAACAATTGGAGAAAGAGAGCGGGAACGGCTGAGAGGGATTGGAGGCGTCGAGTTTACGGGAAGTCAAGTTCTGTACGAGTACAGTAGGGCGTACAAGGGGGGGGCCAAGCGCAACGAGGCTTGTCTGACCTATTTCGGGGAGGGACTAAGCAAGAGCAGCACAGTTAAAGTCTACCGTATTATATGGTACTTGTGCTCGCGCACGTAGGGTACAGTACAGTACACGGCGCGTCAAAGGAATAAAAATAAAATAAAATAAAAGTATGATACGACTTTCCAGAAGCCCGAAAGCCCGCGTGAGAATAAAGTGAAAGAGAGAAGAAAGAAAGAAACAGCGGGGACAGTATCAGCAGGGGAACAAATATGTATGAACGAAGCAGAGAAGGGAAAGGGAAGGGAAGAAAAGGGTGGGTTGGACAAGTAGGGGGAGAGGGTTAGAGACGAGGAAGAGAGAGAGGAGAGGAAGGGAATGAGAGGTCGAAAAGAGAAGAGAGAAAAATACGTAGAGACAGAACGCGAAGTTTCAAATGGAAGCTTGTGGGAGGGGCGTCGATGTATAGTAATACGATTGGTTGATGCTCGTTTCTACCTGGGTTCGGATTGGGTTTGGCTTGCGTGGCTTCCCTCTTCCACCAAAAGCTCTCCCTCCCTCTCTTTTTTTTCTTTTCTTTTTTCTTCTCTCTCTCTCTCTCTCTCTCTCCCTCCCTTCGCGAACCACAGATCTCAAATCCAAATGAAGCTCTCCCGACAGAGGCCCACCGTACGGTACTCCTTTCGCGCTAAATAAATATCCGTGCTGTACCGGAGAATTGCCTCCGAAGCTGGTTCCCTTCCTTCCTCGTTCCCTTGATAAAATGGGAATAAAACAAATTACTTAGACGCACAGAATCCACTGTGCTCGAGCGCCCGAGCAGTTTCTGGGGAGATGCATAGGCACTCGTACAGTGTGTCTACGGCAGGGCATAAGATACTTTTATGCCGATAGAAAGGAAGAAAGAAAGAAAAGACCAAAGGGGTTCCCCTATGATCGACTGTGTCTCAGACCTAAACGGCTATGATATTGTATTTCTTTTTTTCCCGTGATTAGTCATTAGGTTCCTTCCCCATTTTAGGAAAGGTGCTTATTTCTTTCTCTTCAGCGCCTAACAGAAAGCTGCATTATTCACCACTGAGAATCCCACTTCCTATGATACGGTGCATTGCTTGTGAAATAGCGGTACCCGTACCGTACGAGCACCGTAACTCTCTAACTGATTAAATATTTGCCACTGTGCCTACTGTGTTCATACATTTCTGCATCAACCTTATGTTGGTGTTGGAATAGTGATCATGCTCAGTGATCGGCTGCAACACAATCTCAACCCAACTGACAAAATGATACTCGAGTACTGGTAGTCTAGGCCCTCCTCTCCCCTCGGCCCAACAAATCTTTCGTATCCCCTGCCCTCTCCCGTACTCTAGACCTCGCTCCATTTCTTTATCTATTTATTTTTATTTTTATTTCCGTAGTCTACGGTAGCTGATTGTGAAGAGACATACTTGTGGAACAAAGCTGCAGTAAAATTCACTAACAAAGCGGTACCGTATCCAGCCCATGGCACAGCCTCATGACACAGCATTGCCCGTAAACTGGCTACGGTAAGTCATGGCCCGCTCTGCCGCTCTCAATCCCCGCCTCTCAGCTCTCCCTAAACTCCCACGAACTTTGTACCACCCGTGCTATCCATCTATCCATCCAACCAAACCCGAGGAAAAAACGGTAACGCGTTCCGCGGAACAGCGAGCCATATGCAGGTTTGAGTGATTCAATAGGTTGAACTTCAGCAGGATCGCGATGATGGTGGTGGCTAGTGTCCGGGTGCTATGGCTCGCTCTGCGGTGGAATACTATACCGGCACGACAAGGGGAAAAAAAAAAAAGGAGGTGAGATGACTCCGTGTTGTCGTTAGTCCACACTATGGAGGACCCTCTTTTCATTCCATGGAGCGGTTGTGCAAAGATAGTAACATTGATTGGGATTTTTAATCACTTATACGGTTGCTATCGCGGGATGCGCACCGCCAGCGCAAAGCAAGCAATACAGAGAGATGGGTTTCGGATGGGCCGGATGGGTCGGATGTTGGTCAGAAATGTCCGGGGCCCCTATGGTACTTGTATGATATCAATAGGATATTCGGTCCTGGATAGTAATGTCGTCGGACCAGTATCAATCATCTGGACAGAGCGTCCCGCCCCGTCTCTGCCGGCCCAAGGCGGTCAGCCGGTGGAGGGGGAGCTACGGTACTCGAGCACTGACAGGATGCAACGCGATGTGATATGGCGCAAGGAGGGGGAGGAGAGAGAGGAGAGAGAGGCCAGGGAATGGTAATCGGAGTGATGCAAATTGCCCCATCGTCCTTCCAAAGGCTTATGTTACATGTCATCGTAATCTTCAAGACGAAAGCGTGGAGCAACAGTCTCACGAATACTGGTTGGCCATCGATCATGGCTCAACCAACAGGGAATCAAATTGGAATATGCCCCTTACCTCCCTCAGACTGCATAAGTCTCTTCCCGATAATTCTGGGATTACCGTAGGTGGAAGTCCGCATCTTGGGAGGTGCGTTATACGGGATCCGGGCCATTCCAGCTGGTGAGCTTGTGTTTTCTTCCGCTGGATACGGTAGCCGCCCACCCTATGGCGCTTCTGCCCACGCAAAAGTGGCTCATAAGCTATCCAGCTGCTAATGTGGTTCGTTCCCTCTCCCTCTCCACACCCACGAACTCTAGCACTTGATATCTCGGACTAGGCATGGCCTGCGGTTCGGTGCTACTTTTCTCGGAGTGCACGGCGTTCTACAAGCAGAGCCCACTTTACTGCACTGTGTCCCATGTACCCGTACAGTACCGGCGTGTATCCGGAGGTAAAGTGGGTACTGCACTCGAGTACCGGTACTAGTACTGGTACAGGAACTCCGAGAGCACGGGGTATCACGCGGATCAGGGTTGCACAAACATTCCTTGTACTACCGGTATATACGGTACTCGAGTATGGTGCGAGTACGAGTACTGGTACACCACACTCCGTGTTCTGACTGGCTAACTGTCGCTTCAGTGCAGTACAGGTATCCATACCGGTACGGCAGTCCGGTGCTCGTGCAAGTGCTATATAACAACATCCACGGATGGCGCGGTACAAATGCTTGTACGAGTACTCATCTGGTATAAATAGAAATGTATGAAAGAGACCAAAGACTGTTGCGGTAGTCTAACCATACTAAGCAGAGCTTCCACGGCACTATACAGGGCCATTCTTTGTAATGCCACTCGACATTCGGGCTACGGTACCATACTACGGTATGTACCGTACCCGTACTTGTAATCCGGCCACTTGGAGCCGGGTGTCGAGAGCGGCAGGCGGGTACCGGTACAGTATGAGAGGCGTTCCATGACAAGGCCTGGAGGTGAGCACATCGCAGATCAGGGGGCGAAATGTGACGAGGATTTTGTGAGTTGCCTGTCTCAAACATGCTGGAGGTGTTCGAGCAACGCATCAAAGTGCTCGTATCATACAAGTGCCGCAGAGTCTTGAAGATTCCCTTCTCGTTCTGGCTGACGGGACTATCGATGGGGGCAGTGGGGGCGTGTGCTTCTTAAGGGATGGCGTCATCCTGGTTTCTTTTTTCTTTTGGAGGGCTCCAAAAAAGAAAAAAAATTGGATGGAAAATGCGACAAAGGGTTTCGCTATCTGGTGAAGTCTACTTGTATCATATCATCCCCGCAGACTTCCCCCACCTGCGCGAGCCCCCTCCCGTCCATCCCCGCCCCTGCCCCGCAATCCACCCCCAATCCTCGTCAATAATACCGGTTCGATAGGGGATCCAAACCTCCACCCAATCATATCGTGTTTGTTCGCAGGGGCGCATAGCAGAAAAAAAAAAAGTAAGAAAGAAGGAAAGAAAAAAAGAATTAAAGAAAAAGAAAAATTTCCAAGACAAGATCCACCCTCATCCTGAAGCACCCTTATCGCAGATATCATAGGAGGAAACACCTTGTTGACCTCGTAATTTCTAACCAAACATGCCATCTCAATTCTCAAGCTTGCTTCGCTATGCGGTGCAGCCTCGCCGTACAAGCATCACTTCCATTGCCGATGCAGCAAGGCTACGGAAATGTCCCTCCTCGTTATTAACAGACCCATGGCGGCCACTCCACAGCTTTGCCGCTTCCCCGCCCATGCCTTCCGGGTCCACGGCGTCGAACCCACAAATGTCCTTCCCATGCCTGGACGCTGTGGAGTCGAGGACTCAAGAGATCGTGTCGCGCTCCTTGACAAATGGCCCTGAACCTTCATACACGACCGGTGTGCACAAGGAGTTCACGTCGAAGGAGCCGCTATTGCTGGACTATGGCGGGAGACTGAAGGAGTCCACCATAGCCTACGAAACATGGGGCAAGATGAACGCGGACAAGTCCAATGTGGTGCTCCTCCACACCGGTCTCTCCGCATCCTCCCATGCAAGGTCCAACGAGGACAACCCACGCCTCGGCTGGTGGGAGATGTTCATAGGTCCTGGGTTGGCGCTTGACACGAACCGCTTCCATGTGATATGCACAAACGTGCTCGGGGGCTGTTACGGATCTACGGGACCAGCCAGTATCGATCCCGCGGATGGGAAGCGGTACGCTACGCGGTTCCCCATCCTGACCATGAGTGACATGGTCAGGGCTCAGTTTCGCCTGCTGGATGCACTCGGCGTGGGCAAGCTCATGGCAAGTGTCGGAGCCAGTATGGGCGGCATGCAGAGTCTCGCGGCGGGGGTCCTATACCCCGATAGAATCGGAAGAATCGTGAGCATAAGTGGTTGTGCCCGGAGCCATCCCTATAGCATTGCATTGAGACATGCTCAAAGACAAGGTATGCAGCAGACAAACCCCTAATGTTCCACCCATCCCGGAATACTCACCATTCTAAAAATTCCAAAAATAAAGTCCTCATGGCCGACACAAACTGGAACCGCGGCTTCTACTACGACAAGGTCCCGCCGCACGTCGGCATGAAGCTGGCCCGGCAGATTGCCACAGTGACCTACCGTTCGGGTCCCGAATGGGAACAACGCTTCGGCCGGCAGCGCGCAGACCCCTCCCGCCCCCCCGCTTTGTGTCCTGACTTCTTGATAGAAACCTACCTCGACCACGCGGGCGAGAAGTTCTGCTTGGAATACGACGCCAACAGCCTCCTGTACGTGTCGAAGGCAATGGACCTCTTCGACTTGGGCATCGCAAACCAGGACAGCATCCGCGAGTTGCGCCAGAAGAACAAGCACAGGCTCCTCGAGGGCTACTCCAGCGACAGCGAGGCCTGCTCCTTATCCTTGCCCAGGGTGCCATACATCGAGCAGCAGTCGAATAAGGATTCCTCCCAGACCGCCTCTGGTCATGATGATGCAGCCGCATCCGACGATTTGGTTCTGGGATTGTCACCAATGAGGGATATCCCGGCGTTGGTTCTCGGAGTGGAGAGCGATATCCTCTTCCCCGCCTGGCAGCAGCGTGAAGTCGTCGATACTCTGCGCAAGGCTGGGAATGCCAATGTCGAACATGTCGAACTCAGCCAGGACGTCAGTCTCTTCGGTCACGATAGTTTCCTACTGGATGTCAAGAACATTGGCGGCAGCGTTAAGTCTTTCCTGGAGCAATAGACTGGTTTCATTTCGAGTTTGGGTATCCGGTCGGTCGGTCGTTTGACCTTTTTTCCTTCTTGCCCTCGATGACACTTCACCTTTAACCGTTTCATTTGTAATCGGAGTTCAGTGGCCCTGGGATAAAAGAAAGGAGAAAGAAAAAGAAAAAGTCCAGTACATGCATAGGCAGGTGGTTTACGCTCTATCACTCGCTTTTTTAGGGTTTTATGTACCATAATTTTGCCTTTTTTTTCTATCTTTTTTTTATTTTATTTTTATTTTTATACTTTTTACCGATAAAGGCTACAGCTCTATCTGTTTGTAGCATTATTAAACCGCAGTAGCAGCAGCGGTTTCACAAGTGCGGGTGCTTTAGGGATATCTGCTACTCGTACGCACAGTGCTTTGTCTGCTGCCGCCCTTAATTTATGCCCCTCTACAATCACACATCCCCGGGATTTACGATACCGGTTGTATACCGATATAACTGAACATTTGTTGATCAATGCTGCCCTGGGACACTGGATGATACCCTCCTCGCATTTTTTTCCTTTTTTCCCTTCCCCCCTTCCCTTTCCCTTCCCCTTTTCCCTTCTCCACA